GCTGTGACGTATGCGGCCGACAAATTCGACCTTCGGAGGACCCGGCCTGCCGTTTTGGACACAGCCACAGCCATGGTGTCAGGGAACAATCTTTAACACAATCTAAATGCAAATACAAAATCCAAGATCCCCACCCACTTCTCATTAATTTGGGGGTGGCCCATCAGGTGGCCGAGGTGGGACCTGCCACCRCGGCCACCCCTCTGGCTCCACCCCTGCTCACTAAACTATCACACGCTAAAGTTTATTAAAATCTTTTAAATGGTTTTCTAGTCCAGTGCTTTACATTTTGTTCCTTTAAATATAATTTATGTCTTTTATTGTGCAAATAAACTAAAGCATAGCCAGTGGTAGAGTCTGCTCAGGCATCTGGATGATGTTAAAAAGCCCAACAGGCCTGAGGAGAAAATAATTGTAATCGAACACAGCTAAATACTTCATTGATCTGAGGTAAATTCATAAATTCACCTCAGTAACAGCAGCTCCCAAAGTAGTTTTCTGAAAACAGACGGAAACAGTAACATTGTTAAAATTAGCTTTAAAGTCAGATTTACATTTAAAATACAAAAAATAGTAGCATTTATTCTGATGAATAAACAGTTCATTTAAAATGCTSTGAATCACAGAAACAAGGTTAATGTTTTATTGGTTTCCTGTAACATAAAGACCAATCAGGAGTCCTTATAAACTGTACATTTTCACACAGGTTTTAATCATAGTGGCACATTTATGTTTCTGTGTTCCAATTAGTGCATGTTAGAATAAAACGCATGTTAGTGAGTCAACAAACACAACACAATCAGTGCTACGCAAAGAACTAAAGCAGGGGGTCCCATCTTTTCTCTTCATAGAAAACAATTTGTTTAAAGGCACTAGTATCAGAAAATATTTGACCTGTTGTGACWACATGATCCAAGTTACAGCAGTTATAAAATAAAGCATTTTAACACAGGATTTCAGGCTGATTTATCCAGTTCTTTTTCCAGGAACAGAAGAAATTTAATGGATGGAAAAACAAAAAACAAAAACAAAACAAAACAAAACAAAACAAAAAAACAAACCTGAAGGTTTCATTTATGCTCAATAAAACATGAGGTCACGAGCTGATCTGGAACAATAGCCTTTTTTAACAATCATGATTATTTCCTTTTGTGCAAATCTTTAAATATGTAAACCAAACCAAAACATCAGCCTGCATCTACAAGAGTAAATTTTTTAAAAAAGCTCTCCAAGCATCTAGTGCTGAACAGAAAGACGTGAGCAGAACAGACCTTCAGTGTAAATATTGCGCATGCATTCGTCTAAACTACAAGTGGCTGCGAAACACGCAGTGTGTACGTGCAAGTGTCGACGCCTGCAAGTTAAACAGCTGCCTTCAGTCAAGACTGAGATCTTCCCCCAAGCCATGAACATCATGTAGAGAAAGACACAAATAAACATGGMGGAAACAGAACAACATAGCAACTGTGCACGCAAACACAAACTGAAATCTGGTTGATTCTGGGTTTTTCTTAGTGACCAAATAAAACCAGAAACTGAACAACAGCAACAGAAGAAAGTGTGTTTATGTAAGTTTGACATGATCTGGAAAACTAAAACAAATACAAAACATTTTTTAGCCTGAGCGGTCAAAGCCCTGGAGGGGTCTTTATCTGAATGTTGAGGACTAAAGAGCAGAGGAGCTCGTCTAAACATGATGTCCTCTACAGGTGACGGTACGAGGACCCCACCTCCCCATCAGCCTTGGATCTGGGTGGTCTCAGGCAGTACCACCACTCTACAACCAACCCAAAAGTTATCTAAATGTATGATTTTCCAGAGCAGATGAATGTATCTCACATCTAAACAATTAGAAAACGAAAAAAAAAGAAGCCTTTTTTTATTTACAAGTAAAAATTTGCAGTTCAACAGGAAGTTAGAAACTTTTCTCCACGTTACACAAAGTGCCTGCAGGCTTTAGCTTTTATAAACAAAACGTGAACAATGTTTTAATAAGAAGGAACTTYGGTTCTTAAGTATTTTTCCTCGCAAAAAGAGAAACCATTTCTGTCTAAGAGTTCCGCTGCAATTAACTGATTTGCTACATTTTCTTTACTTGTCTGATATAGCTGGGAGTGGTTGAAAAAAAGGAAGAGAAAAGAAAAAGAAAAAAAGAAGCCTCATTTGGTCTGATCATGCTCGGAGCAAAACGTTTGCAGAATAGTTCTGCTCCTTGAAAGAATTCAAGGAATGTGATTTTTAAACAAAATCTCCAAAAAGGAAACCTCGGACAGGCGAATGGGATAAAACCAGAAGATCTGTGGTTCTGTGCAACAATCAGCAACATGAAAAGTCCCGGACTTAAAACAAAAGTCTTTAATGGTTAAAAGTGTAACTTGAATTCCACATTATATCCTTAAAAGTAAAAAGAAAAAGAAAAAAAAAACTTGTTAACTTACTTGATACTTTAACATCTGGAAAATGATGCTGTAACTAACTGAACACCAGAGTTTAATGACGACAGAAAACCAACTAAAACAAATCTTGACACAAAGAACAGAGCACAGAGGAGCTGTTTTCAGTGTTTAAACACAAAMGTTCGGCACATTTAAGGCAAAAAAGAGGAGCTTTCCATTTTTATTGTGGGGTTCTGTAAGTCGTGCACATCCGTTCCGGTTCACTTCGTCAGTCATCGATGTCGTCGTAGATGTCATCGTCAAAGGACCGCGGCTGCTTTCTGTGACGGGAGTATTTGAGCTGAAGAAGGTCCCCGACCTCGCTGATGGCACTCAGCGCCTGCGGGAGACATTTAAAGGGTTAAAAAGAAACCAACGTGGAGGTGAATGTGTGGATCAGAAGTCTGTGAGCTTAAAATCGAGCTGGAATGAGAAGAAGTGCTCGAATTATGGATCGAGTAAATCGTTAAACATCTCTGAAGCCTGCTGATAACTTAAAAATACGATTTATTTTTATCTTTTAAAACCCAAACCCAATATTTACGTTTCTTGGAGCTCTAGTATAATTACAAATATTTAACTCTGAGTTTTTTTTATTAGCTCTTTTCTAACAGCAGTAACTGCAGCTGAGAGACTGAACTCAAAGAATAACAGAGCAGTAAAAGCAGAACTGAGTAGCTTCAGCTTTAACTCTTTACTTTCTGCTCTGACTTGGACGGCACAATAAATCACAAATTTACATCATCATCATCATCATCACAAAGGACTGCAATAAATGATGAACCATTATCTGGGTTGCTGCAGTTTAAGGCAAGTTAAATCTAAGACCTTTTAACACTTTTTAATGCCAAGTGAAATTAAATTTAAGACCAATTTCATAATAAACGCAAATGCCAATAAAAAAAAACCTAGCAGAAACTCATAAACCAAGGTTTTTTTTGTTTAAGTATTAAACTATTGCTGATAGACCAACTGTTTTTATCCATATCTAACTATAGCAGAAACATTCTTAGCAGTCAGTTTTAAACTTAATTTAATGTCTGGAAATTCACTAACAACCCAAAATTTGGAGTTTTAGGACCCACAGTGGGGTCTTAACCCCAATTTGCTGTAGATGAAACCTTAAAGTGCCCGTGACACCAATTTTTAAAGAAAAGTGAATGCATTTTTGGAAAGACAACATTATTAACATATTACAAAACAAATTTCACATTGCTCAGATGGATAGTTGTTGAGATATTTGCATGTGAAATAACAGGAAGTGATGTCAAAGGGGAACATCTGCATGTGAATATTTAAATAAATAAATGTTACCAATTATTTTAATATTTTAGGTGAATTACAATCATCCTATTTACAATGTTTAACATTTAAGACTTCTGAAAGACTGATTTAAGACATGTTATTTGGATTGATGAATTCAATGACTTTTAAGACTTTTTAAGGATCTGCAGGAACCCTGATTATGTTTCAAGCCTCATGCATTCATGTCCTGCATGAACATCATTGTTACTCTTAATGCACTTAATACCCACACCTGGTTTAAATGTGGGATTTAAACCACAGCATCAAAACAAACAATCAAAATATAAATAAATAAAACTTTGCGTGAACCTTTTATTAGAGCCGTAAAGCTTCTTTGTTCTTGTTGAACAGCATAGAATCAAACGATATAAAAGGTGTGGTGTAAAAACTGTGACTCACTGGTTTAATGTTAGAATATTAAAGTGGTCAGTAAAAGAGAAAATAAAAACTAAAGCATTTCTGATGTGCGTGAATGAAAAGACAAATCAGTCAAAGCTCAGTGGCGGATGAAAGAAACATAGGAATCAACAYGACACTTCAAAGTGCGAGGGAATGATACGGAGACGACCAACAGAGAGATTTCACCATCATGACAGATGAAAGCGTGCAACACTTCAGCACTCCCACTCGCCGTCTTCAGCTCATTTTGTTCTGCTTATTTAGCCTTGATAACAGCTTCAGATGTAGCAGCACTTATCTAATATATCTGAGCCCAGCGACACGCCCATCTTAGACACAGGAGATGATTAAACATCTGTCTGACATGCTTTACAATCAGGGGGGGTGGGCGCGCAAACAGATTTACACGTTTAATTTGAAGCATTAGGCACTTTTTAGATAAACTGCATCGTTTAACGTTGACGACACGACTGCTCAAACTTTTCCTCTTTTTCTAACGAAGCAAAGAGACTGAAAACTGAGCAGCAAATGAAGAAAACCAATGTGGTGAATAAAACCTGAAGCAAAAAAAAATACGGACATTTTTAGCTTTACACCATGTTACACACATCATTCCCCTCATCAAAAACACACCCAGAGTGTTGCTTTGACTCATTCATGCATGTTTGAGAAATCCTTGAATCTTCTGTTGTAGCCATGTGGAGCTGCCTAAATGCTTGCTCATCCAAAGCTCCGCCTACTCACCTAAAGCTCCTCCCTGGAGCTCTGTCCCCAGCCATGCTCCCACCCCACAGAGCCCCCCCTCCCGCACACAGCTCCACTAGACTAGCAAAACAWCTCTTAAAAATGGTRGATTTTCATGATTTCATTGCAAAACATATCTTCAYAATGACCTATATTTGTAGTTTCTTTGTAAAAAAGTAGCTTAACATTGACGTATATGTATGAGAGGATGACWGRGAGATAGATTCATAGCTGAAACATCTTTTTAAAGCCCCTGTTCTCGCTCTAGTTCTTCAGAAAATTACTTTCAGAGTCTGACGTARGATCATTTTATTAGATTCAAGTGTATCCTGAGTTGCCATTTTCCAAAACTGATATTATATAATGTTGCTGCTTCTTCTTCTTTTTTTACAACAAAATACAACGCTCCTACAAAAGATTTTAAACGACATGTAGCACTGTTATGAAGACGTGCTGAAGTGGGAGTGTCAGAAACGGTAGGAGGTCCTTAAAAAGACATGCCATATTCAAGGCAATTAGAAAGACTATGATGGAAAGTTAATTTATTTATTTTTGATATAACAGCATTTTCATAACAACTAAAGGCAATGGTTACGTGATTGTGGAAACAAACTGAAAAATACTGTACACGCCTCCTCAATGACCAGCTTTGTGTCTAAAACCACAACGTATCGTGATTCAGGTTTTTCTGCATTCTTTTGGTCAGATTTTYCCCCCGCTAAGACACAGAATTGTATCAGGTTTAAACCAGTGACTGACAGGAGAAGATCCAGCAGGTCTGCAGTGAGCGCAGCACAAGAGTCGACAGCTTTTTGATGTGTTGCCAACAGCAATGAAAAGCTGCACTGTCTGTACATCCGCAGACAATCACAGTGAGTACTGCTGGTGGTTCAAGTGCAGCAAAGCAGACAATCACAATGAGTACTGCTGGTGGTTCAAGTGAAGCAAAGCTCTCTTTAATATTTTATACATCAACCTGCAGTGATCCAATTGGCGCTGTAACGTAGCATTTAAATGGATTCACGTCAGTGAAATGTTCCCTGACTCYCTGGATGTCAGACAAAGAGCTGGGAGGGATGCCACCCGTCTGAAGTTACTTCAAGAAAAGACATTTCAGGTCAGCAGAGATCAKCCCTGTGTCCTTCCATTTCACCGCATTATCCAGCCCAGCTTCCCTTTAATGTCCCTCTGATCTCTTGGCAAAGTCTCAAACAATTTCAAGGTCATTACAACACCCTGAGCGCTGACTTTAAAGGGCGCAACTGAAAAAGAAAGTCTGTAAAATTAGCCCCAGCTAAGACCAGTCGGTGCCTTTTAAATACGCCTGCCTGTGGTGGAACATCAGCACTGACTCCTGCTGGTCAGSTTCTGCTAATAAGCTGGAAAACTTTGACAAAAACTTTACACATGCATGGGTTTTGTAATTAGTCACAGATCTGTGGAACTTTCCTCAAAAGAACGAGTGAGATTAAAGCWGYGAGGTGCGAGACTAACAGTTCTTACTAATTAAAGGGAATACAAGTTTTTCACTTGAATCGTGAAAGCTTCAGTCGGCTCTTTCCACCGTGTGGGCAGAGAAACCCGAGACGTGTCTATGCAAGACTAACCAAGATCAATACRTGTAAAGTCACCAAGCTGCAGCTTTTAAAGGATTTTTTTTTCTTTCTAAAGAAAGAAAAGTGATGATTTTGCAAACTGAATATAAAGTGGTGACTGTGTAAAGGCTGGAAAAAGTGAACTGCCATCATGTAAAAGCTATTAAACAGGACATACTGCAACAATGCTCTCTATCAGTAAAACAGTGATTTAATCACTGATGATTACAGATAACACTGCTCTGTGGTGATAACCTGGGGTCAGTATTACACAAGACACAAAACAAGACTCATTAGCATCTAATCATGATGGAATTAGTTATAATTAGGTTTTATTGTTGGAAATTGTTTTTCATTGGAACTGAATATGTCACAGGATTTGCTCCAGTTATATGCTCAACATGTTTTTAAATGAAAAAAGGCATAAAACTCACTCAAAAGATTTTTAATCCAGAGTTTTAGAGTAAGTTGTRACTGTTTTGGTCAAACCATGAAAAAAAAAAGATGAAGCACAGTCTAATAAGTAGGGATGKTACCAAAACCCAGTATTTGTCCAGCACCAGGTCCACGTGATGAATTTTGACCGGATCGATAAGCTAACCTTTGGTGTGTTGTTTCACATAAAAAGAAAGAACTATATTTCTCTCTCGCAGTCCGCTTCCCGAGTGGCTGCCCGATCCGTCCCGGTAGCACGATCCGTACCGTCAGCTCATCTGCACATGCCCTATTTGCTAGACTTCGGGAATGTGCTCGATGTAGGAAAAAAATACTTATTATTTCTATGCTTAAATATAAACGTGCGTTAAATTATATTATAAAAACAAGTATGCACGATAACTTATTTTATGAACCGATACCGATAACTTTCTCCTTCTAATGGACCGATAACCGATAATAACCGATAACMTGCCAGGAGATAAGACTAGTCAAAAATGAGTAAGATCATAACCTAAATAAACAAGACCAAAACCAAATGACACTGTGAATTATATTATTTGAAATAAACTCTTAAACAAATATGTCTTAATGTATATCAAACAAAACAATTTCTCAAATGGCCTAAGGCACATTCATTATAAAACAACCTTTAATTCAGATTTAATCTCAGATTAAAAAGGAGAAAAGGCCATTCTACAAGTTCAAAACAGATAATGCAGTAACACAAGTCAGATTCAAATTACATTTGTTTTTATTATTATTAATATATGATTTAAAACATTTTTCTACCTGAAACAGTGCTTCTGAGAGTGTGAATGCATTACGACCGCATCATACTTACAGGAAGACACAGACAGCAGCTGTTCGGCATGGTAAACCGTGGCTAACGGGTAACAAAAGCTTCGATTTTTAGTGAGGG